CGAATCCGAGAAGCGACAATTCAGGTCTAGAAGTCGAGACGATCAACAAGTCGACTGAGAGCTACTCAGGATCCGAGAAGGTCTAGGGTGAAGCGAATCGACAAAATACAGGACAGATCCTAAAAAAAACAAATCGACATGAATTCTGGAAATAAACCACAACATGCTGGCAACGAACGTCATTTGACTGGGAGGCTGCCTTTACCCGAGACAGCCGAGGGTGAAACAGGTCGACAATTTCCCGAGCAGGCCCTGGGTGATACAAGGCGACAAATTCTAGGGCAGAAAGAGCAACAAATAGAAATTCCTAAACAACAAGAGAACAAGTGGGCTAATTTAGAAAAGAAGATTGTACGAGTGAATCGAAACATGTCTCTCATTATTGAGAGACTTGAGCAACAAGAGGAGAGTCCACCAGCACTAGTACAAGATCCACGAAAGGGCAAAGCTCCCACGAGTGGAGACACGAAGGAGTCGACGAACAGCCCAGTGGCACGGAGTAAACTGGTAATTGGAGGGAATGACAAACCACGGAATGATACTTATCGTCGGCGGGAACCCCGACCATGCCTCAAGAACACCACGCTACATAAAGAACAATCGCTTAGCCGACATGAGCATACAGAAAGATCACAGAAAGACAGTAAAAAACGAAAAGACAGAAGATACGATGTTGAAGAGATTATAGAGCAAACAAATTCCCCATTCGTGGAAGAAATAATGAGAGAAAAGATCCCTCCAAAGTTCAAACTCCCTACTATAAAGCAATACGATGGCTCAACAGATCCTTTTGACCATTTGGACGTGTATAGAGAATGGATGGATCTCTATGGGATGAAAGAAGCAATCAAGTGCAGAATGTTCTCTTTCACGTTAACGGGCACTACTCGTGTCTGGTTTCGACAATTAAGAAGAAATCAATCTTCTCCTTCAAAAAACTAGCCGAAGCATTTGTCACGCAATTCGTTGGATGGCAGAATAGGAGCCAACCTGTGACTTACCTCCTGACCATAAAGCAAGAATCAACTGAGAGCCTCAGAGAATATATGGCTCGCTTCA